ATGGCCTCTTCAGGCTCGAATGTGGAGGAAGGAAATATCAAGCGGGAGCCTCGTCTTTGAGTGAATTGCGATGAATTCTCACGCGGGAGCCCCCTTCGTCCGGGGCCTGCACTTCATGTTGGTACTTCGAGCGGGTCATGGGATGTCATCGGAACCGTGTCATTGTCGTCACTTCTGGTTTCCTCAAGCTGGAATGTGGAAAAAGTCTCAAGCGGGAGACTCGTCTGAAGCGGGAGCCCCCTCCCTATGGGGCCCGCACTTCATGTCGGTAATCCGAGTGGGTCTCCGGAACCGTGTAAGGGTCGTTAGTTGTGGCCTCTTCAGTTTCGAATGTGGAGGAAGTCTCGAGCGGGAGCTTCGTCTGTGAGTGCATTGTGAGGAAGTCTCAGGCGGGAATACCATTCCTATGGGGCCCGCACTTCATGTTGGTAATACGAGCTGGCCATCGGAACCGTGTAACTGTCCTCACGCTTGGCTTCCTCAAGTTTGAAAATGGAGCAAGTCTCGAGCTGGAGCCCTGTCTTCGAGCGAATTGTGAGGAAGTCTCAGGCGGAAGCCCCCCTCGTCTGGGGCCCGCATTTCGTGTCGGTGGTCCGAGCGGGCCATCGTGATCCGGCCCGCGGGGCTGCCCCCAAAGGCTTGGCCCGCGGGGTTGTTCCGAAGGCTTCGTGTCCCAACCGTCGGCACACGCGCGCGCGCTGGCCGAGGCGGCGACGGCGCCGAAGGCAGTCGATTTGCTTGCCCCGACCAGGGGGAAGGGAGGGGGTGCAGCTGAAGAAGCCCAAAGCTAGGCCCGAGAGGGTGGCGGCCACTCAGACGGCGACTCACACCGCGCCGACGTCGCTGCTCGCCAGACGCGATGTGAGCCCAGAGGATGTGTCCAAGCATGTGAGGAGGCGTAGTGGCCGGCTCAGATTGACTTGGAATATGGCCGGTGTTTTCAATGCGAGAATAACCAGTGCCTGTGCTTATTGTTGATCAGAGACGTCCTTGGGCCTCGGTGGGTCGCACCTCCTTCGGAAAGTGCGTGCTCGTGACCAGCCTTCCGACCGCACTCACTTGCGCATTAAGAACATGATATTCGGAGAAAAATGACTCCCAACGGAACCCTAAGTCATCCTAACAGGGCCTCAAGAGGGCCCAAGGGCTGCCCAAGTGCACAAGCGCGGCGTGTTCGCTCTCGCCCGTGGCTTCGCACGCCTCGGCCAAGGGCTCGTCGGAGGTCGCTCCCCGACTCAGGAAGATGAGCAGTATAACCACGGCGACGAGCCTTGTGAACGGCATCGAGGCAAGCGGCGTAGCAAGCAACTTGGCGCGGCGCGGCGCGATGGGCGTCGGAAGTGGTTCGGGCTTGAGCAGAAGCACCGAGGCTCCCCTCCTCCGTCTTCTCCTCCTAATGCTCATCTCGCGGCTGCAGCGGTTTCATTATCCTCCTCCTCCTCCTCCTCCTCCTCCTCCTCCTGCTTCTTCCTCTCCTTCTCCTCCTCCTCCTCCTCCTCCTCCTCCTCCTCCTCCTCCTTCTTCTCCTCCTCATCCTCCTCCTCCTCCTCCTCCTCCCCCTCCTCCTCCTCCCTCTCGTCCTTTTCCTGCTCGTCCTCCTCCTCCTCCTCCTCCTCCTCCTCCTGCCCCTCCTCCTCTTCCTCCTCCTCCTCGTCGTCCTCCGCCTCCTCGTCGTCGTCCTCCTCCTCCTCCTCCTCCTCCTGTTCCTCTTCCTCCTCCTCCTCCTCCTCCTCCTCCGCAGCGCGTTCCGGAAGAGTCTGGAACGCGTTCAGCAAGAGCATTGAGGCCCGAGGGCGACGCGGCACGTCGTCCAGCTCCGCCGAGCGTATTTGAAGTTCGCTTGGGTTCTCTTTGGGGGGCCAGCTGGGGCCCTCCAGGTGCATTTTGCGGGAGTCTGGAGCCCTGCTGGGAGCGCCTTCGAGCGAAACCCACGGTTCTCTCTCGGAAATCTTCCTCTGGGGCCCCCCTGGGAGCGTTTTAAGGCCCTCTTGGGCTGGCCTGGGGCAGTCATGGGGTTCTCTTGGGCCGTTTTGGTGCGGTCTTCGCGGCATCCCGGACACGTTGAAAACGTCGCAAGGTCGAAATGGCGAAGAACCCTAAAACATTGAAAAAGCACTGGAAATTCATTGTTTGTTCTGCCGGTTGGAACCCTCCTCAGAACGGTCGTGCGTGGAGAAGGGGCAGGAGGAGGAGGAGGAGGGGGCATGGGTAGGGGGAAGGCGATGAGGAGGAGGAGGTGGAGAAGGAGGAGGAGGAGGATGAGAAGGGGGAGGAGAAAGGGAGACATAGGAGGAGGAGGAGGAGGAGGAGGAGGAGGAGGAGGAGGAGGAGGAAGAAGAAAGGGTAGAGCAGACGGCGAGAAGAGGGAGTCCACTAGGGCGAGGAGGACACGGCTAGGTGCGAGCTGAACAGATTTTCACGCGGGGCCCTACCGTCGGAGTAATTTGGGATGTTTTTTGTTTTCTCGCGTTCTCGAGCTTCCAGTGCTCAAAGACGGCCG